TGTATGTATGTATGTATGTATGTATGTATACACACTTTAAATAAAATTCTCCTTTTTGAATTTTATTGGTGCACTTTAAGTGTATTTATTTACTAGTCAATTTATATATTTCCGCTTTTATTTTTAATTATGTCAGTTTCGGTCCTCCGTACTGCAGAAGCCTGAAAATCACTCATTCATTCAAATCAGGTGTGTTTGAGCAGAGAAAAAAGTAAAACATGCAGGGCTGCGGCCCTCGAGGACCAGGATTGCCCACCCCTGATGTGGAGGTAGCCCGCCCCTTTAACACGTCATGAGGCGGAGTTAGGGTGCGAAGAGGTTTGTTACTTGATGTGTTTCCAGGGTCTGGTCACTGTTTAGCTGATGTCTGTCGGAGGCAGAGTCAAACAAAAGCTAATCAGTCCACAGCTGTGCCCGGATGGTTTTGTATGTCTCACTCAAACATCCACATGTCGTTATTATTAACTGGTGTTAGTGCTGCACAGGTAAAGGGTAACAAACATTGCTTATTTTTAACAGTTCAACCCCTTTTTTGAAGACTTAAAACAGGCCTTGTACATGTTGTTATGTTTTTATTCTTGGACATTTGAGATGACAAATATTTAGATTTGATTAGAAAGCTGCTATTTAATAATAAACTAAAATCTAGGAAACTGATCTTTTTGGTTGAGAATCATCTCTATGTTCCACATAACAGTGTGTTGACCTGTGGTTAATATTGAAACTTCTGAAAGATGCTTTGCTTTACTGGATTACTGTGCAGCCTTTGTACTGGGGAACATGGTTACAGCAGGGTCCAGTCTTTGGGTCTTTCTGTTTGGAGTTTACTTGTTCTCCCTGTGTACACCTGGGTATCCTCTGAGTATCATAAGAAAGGTGACCTTTTAAATATCCATTCTTTAAAAAGTACAAAAAATAAAATTTTAAATGACTCATTTCACAAATCTTTAACCACATCAGAAAACCCTTTTTAATCACGTTGAAAATGACATTCATTCCCTGTGTTTGAGGACATACGTCATAAGTTTAAACCATTCCTAATGGTCCATAAAAACCATTTCATTTATTTAATTTAATGCTACAGAGACACTGATTCAATAGAACTACTTTCTGCTCTTGCCTGTTATTATCCTGAGATGATTACAGCTTTCAATTAAATTTGAGTTTCAGTCTGATTACTGAAAACTGTAGTCAGCTATTTGTGATTGTCAGAAAACTTAGTTTAGGCTAGTTAACAGAAACTATTACCTTAAAGTTTCATTTTCCATCAAAAATAAACTCTTGTATTATCCAGCTGCCAAAAAGCAAAAGTGAAGGTTAACGTTTTTGTTCATGACTGTATCTCATGAATAACATTTAAAGCTGATTAATATTTGAGCTCATAGTGATGCAAACTAACAGCCAAAGCCAAACTTATAAAGCACAAAAACAACAAAAACCTCAGGCAGTTTTATAGACTTGAGCTAAACTTTTGAAATTGCTGAATCTCATAAAACACAGTAACTTATAGAGTCGGACCTGTGCTTAAATCTTTGGCATTAACTGTTTTGAACCACTATGCAGAATTTAATGACGTTTTCAGAAATTATCATTAAGAAACTTTTGAATTTAAGCCCTTTCAAGGTGGCTGACACAACTTATCAACCTTAGCAAACACAAATAGTTACATACTTATAACTATGACTATAGTTACATAGTTATAACTATATTAAGACTAAGTTAAATGTACATATTGAGCTAGAATCTGGCAGCAGGTGAGCGGGACATTTTGCAATCACACAGGATTCTGTTTGAGAAAAACTGTTAGAACTCTGTCAAATCTCATCCAAATTTGATTTTGATCTCAGTCTAAAACTCTGGTATTAAGGCAGCAGGTGGTGTTCATTCCTTTAAGGACTGCCTGTGTTTTAATTTAAATGTATTGCCCATCACAGGAATTTGTTCTTTAAATGTCTCCGGTTTGATTTGAATGACAGACATTCAGAGAGAATCTGTTCTCTCTCACTTTTCTGCAGCAGCCTCTACACTGCCTGTGCTGAGTGCCTGCCCTCTGCTGGTTTCTGTTGCCTGTTTTTGTTAAAGGTCTCACAGAGCAGTACCAGTAGGGGGCGCTGAAGTGTCGGACTGACTGCAGACCTCCACACCTCTCCAACACAGCCGCACTTTGCGCACCGGGAGTCAGGATCCACACAAAGGTTGTGCGCCATCCCTAAACCCTGAGGAGTAAACTGGCTTTCTTTTTGTTCTCCCCCCTCATCTTATCTGATTTGAATTTTTATAAGTGCATCTTTTTTTCCTCTCCTGAACAAGATCACAATGCGTCACTCCACCGTGATTTTTGTGACTTTGATCAAACTGTCTTTTTGCCGCCCTGTGGTGTTTGTTTTCACGGTGGTTGTGGTTTTCCCCTTTGTGTTCGGGTGACTTTGCACTCAGTGTCACCCACAGGATAGTTTCTCTTTGCAGCTCATCATATCGTCTATGGTTTGATTTCTTTTCTTTTTGTGAAATGCTGGAAGATGACGATTTGAGCTTTGGAACGAACCGGAGATGTATTTGGAACGCTTTTACGCACGGAGAACTCCAGACTGCTGCTGCTGCTGCTGCTGCTTGTCAGAGCCACGCAGAAGAAAATGTGTCTGTAAGTTTGACACGGAACAGAAAATAGATGTGTGTGTTTTCCTGCTTGAAGATTATCTTGTAGCACACATGGTTACGCGCATATGTTTGAAACTGATGCGCACATCGGTTGTGTGAATCTGATTTATTCTGGCCAATCAGAAAATTACCTGATAACAGGATCAAGATCAGAATGTGTAGATAACACAAAAACAGAATCCTAATAATTATATTTGAATTTGGCCTTCAGTGGGAGAAAAGGGCTTTGTTTTGCACGGATTGGATATAGGTTTTACGCACAAGTGCCATCCACAGACGCAGCAATGACAGGAGGAATGCGCAGCGCCAGGGGGCACGAGGACTATCAGTGTGACTTCACCTGTCGGGGGCAGGCCTGGTCCCGTGAATAGTCGCGGTGCCAGCATGCCCTCTTGGACCAATGACTCCGAGTGCCTCTCCTATAACTGCAGCTGGGAGGAGACCTCCAACAGCAGCGCGGAGCGTCCTGCGCCTCCGCTCAACTATTACTCCATCCCGCTGCTCGCGGGCATCACGGTCGCCTGCGCGCTGCTCTTTCTGGTCGGAGTGGCCGGAAACGTCATGACCATCCTGGTGGTCAGCAAGTACCGGGACATGCGCACCACCACCAACCTGTACCTGTGCAGCATGGCCGTGTCGGACCTGCTGATCTTCTTCTGCATGCCTCTGGACCTGTACCGCATGTGGAGGTACAGGCCCTGGCGCTTCGGAGACGCTCTTTGCAAGCTCTTCCAGTTCGTGTCAGAGTCGTGCACGTACTCCACCATCCTGAACATCACCGCGCTGTCCGTGGAGCGCTACCTGGCCATCTGTTACCCGCTGCGCGCCAAGGCGCTGGTCACCAAAAGACGCGTGCGCGCCTTGATCTTCATCCTGTGGACGGTGTCCCTCTCGAGCGCGGGCCCCGTGTTCGTTATGGTGGGGGTGGAGAGGGACGGCCCGGACCTCGGATCGTGGATGAACGAGACGAGCTTGCTCGCGGACGTCGGGGACACCCGGGAGTGCAGGATGACGCACTACGCCGTGGAGTCGGGCCTGATGGGAGCCATGGTGTGGCTGAGCTCCATCTTCTTCTTCATGCCGGTGTTCTGCCTGACTGTCCTCTACAGCCTGATAGGCCGGAAGCTGTGGCAGAGACACAGGGAGACAAACATGAGCTCTCGGGTGTCTTACAGGGACAAAAGCAACAGACAGACCATCAAAATGTTGGGTAAGTTCAGAGGGAAATTACGCAAAGAGTTCTAGCTTCGGTTGGCTGATTGTTTTTTCTCTCCCCTCTTTAAGTTGTGGTGGTGTTGGCCTTCGTCCTGTGCTGGTTACCCTTCCACGTGGGTCGGTACCTGCAGTTCCGCTCCCTGGACGCCCCGTCCCCGTTGCTCTCCCTCCTGTCCGAGTACTGCAGCCTGCTGTCGGTGGTGCTCTTCTACCTGAGCGCCGCCATCAACCCCATCCTCTACAACACCATGTCCTGGAAGTACCGGAGCGCGGCGGCGCGCCTCTTCGGCCTGGCGGACAGCCAGCCGAGCCGGTGCCGCACGGCCAGCACCCTGAAGGGGGACAGCTCCTATGGCTGGACAGAATCCACCGTGAGCTTGTAAATCCGTCCACAATCCAGGCCCCGATTATGAACTGAAATAAAGCAAAAGGTCAACAAGCTTCAACACATTTACATTATTATTTTTTTAAAGGAAGGAATGCATATAGAGCTGCCACTAGATTATTTTCATAATCGATTAATCACCGATTATTTTTTTCGATTAGTCGACTAATCAGATCATACATTAATTGAATATAAAACATACAGCTTATCACGTCAGAATGCAGCTGCTATTATATAACCATCATTAGATTTTAGCTATATGCTAACTAAAAATAATTGCTGTGGAAGGTAAGTTCTGCTCTGCAGATATTACACAGGTTTAACTTTCATTTTCTTAAAATGATCCCACACTTTTGAGCTCCATTGCTGGGTAGCCATGATACCAGAGCCTGTCTGTATAATGGGACGTCCACGACCTACCCCAGTTACCACTACTGTGCATGTGTGTCAAGGACAGAAAGGCAGACGTGGCAGTGGAAGGTGTCAAAGCAGTTTGGAGAGAAAAACAAAGTAAAAAAAAGAAAAGAAAATGATTAATTGATTATTAAATTAGTGTGATTAGTCGCCGATTAATCAACTAATCGTGGCGGCCCTAAATGCGTGTCACCTGCCACCTTTTATGCCGGAGTTGTTTTTAAAACCAGGATGGTTTTATGAGGAAAGGGGCTGAGTTACAACCGTTTAGGTCAAAACAACTGACCTCATTCATGATCTGTGATTTAGTGAGATCTTGATCGATGTGTCAGCTCTCAGAGTACGTGTTGCGAGTCACTCTCAGCTACTACCACAACGAAATTTAACTCAAAGGGCCCAATCTGTAAAACTGACAGGGCTGCAGTCCCCTTAAACTGTGCTAACTCCACAAGTTAACGAGTTGTAGATGCACATCCAGAGATCACTTCCTGACAGTTTCATTCAAATCTGTCTATTTACACATGAGATATTTTGCTAACAGACAACTACAACAGGATGGACACTTTCAGCAAAATTATTGCAAAACGTGTAGCACTTATAGAATATATTGAAGAGGATGCTCACACCACATTTGAGGTTTCTTTCTGTAAAACTGGATGATTTAGAGCCACTTTTGTGGCTCCTACTAAGTCCTGTTGACTCTTAAAGTTAATCAGTAGTAGATGTACACCAAATGAAGATTTTCTGAAAGTTTTGATCTAATTCTGCCCTGTGATTTCTTTAACATTTTGCTAACAGACCAACAAAGTTGCAATCGTTCATGGCAAAGTTTTAAAAACATACTGTGCAGTCAGTTAGAAACTGGAACAGAAGTAGGTGATGACTCTCGGCTCACTCAAAACATTAGCTCACTCCCTGTAAAATGATTTCACTGATAGCCGTGTTTGTGTTTGCACAGGTTGCTTAGCCTTGGCAGCCATCTTGAGTGAGATTGGCTCCAAAACGTAATCAGCTGCAGTCAGTCATCCAAAGATTACTTCCTGAGAGTTTCGTTAAAATTGGTCGAGAAGTTTGTGAGATTTCTTGCTAACAGTACAGACAAAAAAAAAAACATAAATGTGCCCTTCAGCGGCAGGTGATGATCTCATTTCTCACTACAAGGTTTCAGCAAGTGCCATGCAACGTTCATGCAACACATTCAGCACTATTTAAAAAAAAAAAACAAGTGTGCAAAACAGCTCCTCTCCTCCTCCAAGTGCTTATTGATCCAAACCTGAGCAGAACATGTTTAAGTCTCAGACATCTAATGCCTTATATTCTGGATGACAAGGGAAGCACTGTAGAGTTTGTGTCGCATCTCTGTTCTCCTTCAGAGACGGGCAGAGGTGCAGTGTGAGTGTGTGTCTGTGTGTGTATTGTGTGAGTAATGCAGAATTAATGTGATCAATATTTATTGTGCCCCAACTAAAGCTGTATTATTCTAACGTACGGAGTGCTGATGTTGCCAAAAAGTGTCTCTGGGTCTGATGGACTGTGCCTGACACACCAAGAGTATTTCACTGGTTTATGTGGTTTAAAGTTATTGGGATTCATTTTTTTATTAATATTTTCAATCATTGCTCTGTTTTGATGTAATATACTGTGTGTCAGAAACCTCAAAGAATATGTCATCATTCTTTGCTGCACCAATTTAAAAAACTGTTATTCCTCTTGCATCATTTGCTACATGTGCTACAAATAAAAGCCTGAAGGAATACATATCTCTCATCGCCAGAGTTCTGAATTAAGATAATCTTGTGTTGAGAATAACAGGGTTGGAGCCCTTGTGGTCAAACCTTTACAATACCACGATGCACCATCTCAGGCCATGTTGTCTGTTGTCATGTTTAGAGTTGATGTTCTGAATGAGTTTTGCTGTTGGCTCCATACGTATCTGTCAAACTGGCTGAGTTACAGCCAGGGGTGTCACTAGGTTTTAAGGACAAGGGGGGCTTAGCCCCCAGGAGACGCACAGAATTTTTGTATATTATATACTTGTAGTGTGTCTGTGTGTGTCTGTGTGTGTGTGTGTGTGTGTGTGTGTACGGGTTTTTCCTACAACGTGTGGACAATTTTCCTAAAAAAAGCAGCCTCGTGGGGACCGAAGTGACTCGTGGGGACCATTGTCAGGTCCCCACGGGTCCAAATGCAAATTAGGGGTGTGGTGTTAGGTTTAGGGTCAGGTAGGCACCTGTGAGGTTAATTTTAGAGTATATGGTCAGGGTTAGGCTATAAAGTCTAAAAAACATGAATGGAAGTCAATGGAAGGTCCCCACGGGGTCAAGAAACAAATGTGTGTATTTATATATATACATACATACATATATATATATATAT